TATTTCCCTTGGTTTTCAACCAAACGGGGTGGGATTTAGAACATAAATAGATATAAAGGACTTCTACAAGAAGATATGGCCACCTTGCTCATGTATGCACGTGCGTGCACATCAAATGAGATAAATCAAAAATACACTTGAATAAGCGTATTTTTTTTTAATACTTTTGGATTAAATACTTTAATATTTAGTATATAAAAGATATATACATTGTGTAAACAAGATGATATGGTCATTACGTACATGCATTCACATGCGCACGCTTGCAATGCTAAAATTTGAATGAACTTGGCGTTGTTAAAGTCTCAAATGCATAGATTTTGTCCTATTTAGTGAAGCTTACAGGGAATATGGCAACAAAAGGGAGTTGGGGAGCGTTTGGGGAACATCTGTAACGGTCCCCGTTACAATTAGCACTAGTTGAATTGAAGATAGGTGTAATTCTATTAAAGATAGGTATAATTCATTTGTACCTAGGTATAATTATTAAGAGATAGGTATAATTATTTATACCTATCTTCAATTCAATTGTACCTATCTTTAATTCAATTGTACCTATCTTCAATTCAATTGTACCTATCTTCAATTCGTTTGAAGATAGGTACAATTATTTGAAGATAGGTTCAATTATTTGAAGATAGGTACAAATATTTGAATATATGTTAATTTGGCGTTCCATATATTTATGATATAAACAAAAACCTAGTCACTTATTAATCTCAGTCAGATGACCTTTTGTTTTATTTACTTAGTTCTATAATCATTTTGTACAAAAGTCTTCGGTTACATGTACATACAATTTAAGTTTAATGTAAATTCTAAGAAATGAATCAAAGGATGACACTTTTTAGATTTATTTTCAAAATGCAGATCGAGGTTCAGCTTTAAAAATTATTAACATAATAAGGTCTCGGTGTATGAATTTGATTCAGTCATTACTCATTATTTTACTGGCTATCAAGACGTTCTTTGGAAAAAAAAAAACTTTTAGGAAAATCAACGAATCTGAAGTAATTGTATTTTAAAATGTATTTAATAAATATCCCCGACTTTTTTTCCAAAGATAGACGTAGTATAGACATTGGACATTGCTGTGTAGGTTTAGCCCCCCCCCCCCACTTTCCACAGACATGTTCCAGTATAAAATATTAGAATATTAGAATATTTATTCAACCAATTTGGGCCCACAGTGGAGCATACAGAACAGTGTCCAAAATCATCACAGTTATACATATACAAAACAGAACGAAACAAACATTGTATAATGAACAGAGAGTTAGTTATCTTCTTTTAGGATGTATAGAATGTAGGCATTATAAATGGCCTATGTATAATATCTGCAATATAGGCTTAAAATCGGAAAGTGGTAGTGTTTGTAAAAAATTTTGGTATTGAAGTTCGAACCTAACTCCCTCCCCCCCCCCCCCCACACAGACACACCTCTCATGCACAAGAAAAAGGATTTTCATGTTTGGCCAATGCAATTTTATTTTTTGCTTAAAATCGGAAAGTGGTGGTACACCCCCACACACACCCTCTCGCACACTCACACACACGAAATAGGATTTTCGTGTTTGGTCAATGCAATTTTTTTTTTTTGGCTTGTCAGGTTTTTTGGAAGGGTTAATTTTTTTTTTACACCTAGCCCCCAGAATATCAATTTGCTTCTAACACCAATGACCTTTTATTTTTATGCACACCAAGGTAGCTACAGCAACTTGACATTATTTACACTTTTGAATCCAAAGATATTACTTTCCAGCTGATGGTGCACGTCGGAGTCTCTGACTTTGTAAATAAAATCACACTGGAACAGAGAGCCTACAACACAGGCTACTATCTCAAAGATGTCAAAAGTCAAACTCCTTATAAGGAATGCTGTAGGGAGGAGGGGGAGGAGTGTATCTGTGCTGGGCTGGACATGAGTCGAGTCAGTGAGGAGATCAACAGCGCAGATAACGAGCTGAAAGCAGAGGTCTCTTATGCTGATACTGGGAGGTGACTAACGTCTTCAAATTCATTATTATGCCCCTGTAATCGAAGATTCGAGGCATATAGTTTTTGGTTTTCCGTCTGTTTGTCTGTCTGCCTATCTGTCTGTTACTAGTACTCTGTTCGTCTGCAAAAACTTTTTCCTTAACTTTTGAATGATTGATGTTAGTGTTTTTATATTTTACTTGTGTAGTTCATGAGGCCAGACCTGTCCTTGGTTTAAGGAAGGCCCACACTTTTACGGATCCGGTTCTAATTTTACACATCCATATAAAATTCTGATTTTCACTTTTCTATTGATATAAATCTTTTTGGGTGATTGAAAATGATTTAGCAAGTATACATGTGTATATTTGTTTATTATAGTGTTATTGTGCATATGAAGCATATAATATACATTATTTATGGAAATTAACACTTTGCACTCTGTCCATAAGATCTATACATGTCATTTAGTACACACACAAACACAAAATTCTTAATTGCTTTTATGGACCTAAATCTTTTTAATTTTCTTTTAAGCAAACTAACCTGAGATTTGTTTTTATTGATTTAGAGCCTATATCATCCATTTAATTTCTACTTTTTAAAAATTTTGCATTGAATAATTGAAAAAATTGATATTCCAAAAATGGGGGTATACGTCTTCAAAAGACTGTTTTGCTAAAATTCTCTGGTCAACCATAATAAAGTAGCTGTTTTTGTTAACATTAGATATAATTCTTAATAGTTTTAAAGAAAAAATGGCATCTAAACATTTTGGATTTTGAGAATTATAAAAAATAAAGATATTTTGAGATTTTTTTCTGAAAGACATGGACAGATTCAACACCAATTTGTTAATGTTTTGCAGTAAAGATTTCAAATATTCTCTTCTCAAATATATATTTTTGATCTTCATAAGTTTTAACATAAATTTGATGTGATTTGGTGCATAATTGAGAGAAATATGAAATCACACTTTTCTATGTTCAATTTTGGCTGTCGAGTTTTTAGAGGTATGTGCGCTGAGACATGCTGTATGAAAATTAACCTGCAAAGATATGTCTTTTATGGGTGTTTTAGTAAGTTTAAGACTTGTTCTAGGTATTCAAATTGAAAAATTATCAGTTTGACAGAAAATTCTGAAAGTACGGACCTACCTTAAAGTCGGCATTCCTTTAATATTGACCTTGTTAGCTGATACATGTTTATTCTATCATTGGGTCGTATTATGGGTGACTTATTTTTTTTTACCAATTGTTAAGCCTTTGTTTTATACTGAATTTGACTAGGAAATATCACGTCTACCTGATTAATACATAGGGATAACGACAGGTGTGAACTGACAACAAGGGATGCTTTCTCCTTTTAAGCACATGATCCCTCTCCTGGAAGTTCAGAGGGTCGGCGTTTAATGCCCTCTTCACAGATTTTATTTTTTTTGAACAGATTTTTAGTACTTTTTTTAACAGATTTTTGTACTTGGTGAGATAAAGCCATAAACCAAACTTAACACGTGACATAAGTGTTATTTACTCTACTTTTTTTTTATTTCGTGCATTGAGAAAGATTTTGAAAAAAGAAAACAGACTGAATGGGGATTTTTTTAATTTACGTTTTAGCTCTACTGGACAGAGACCAGAAAAGCTTATGCGATGGTAATGCGTTCGGCGTCCGGCCGTCTGTCTGTAAACAAAAAATGCTACTCTTCCTACAGTTTTGGTCTGATTTCAATATAACTATAACTTGACACACAAGTAGACTACACTAAGATACATAATTTTATATATCGGTTGATTTCGATGTTGCCATGGTTACTAAAAATAGAAATTTCTGTGAAATACTTTCAAAATGCTACTCCTCCTACAGTTTTGGTCTGATTTTAATACTTGGCAAACAAGTAAATTACACAAAGATACATAATTCCGTGTATTGATTTTCGATTTCTTTGAAGGGTGTTGCAGTGGTTAATAAAAATAGAAATTTCTGTGAAATACTTTCAAAATACTACTCCTCCTACAGTTGTAGTTTGATTTCAGTATAACTTGGCACACAAGCTACATAATTCTGTTTATTATACCCCCGCTTGAAAAGCGGGAGGGTATATAGTAATCAGGGCTAGGGCTTTCGTACTTCACAAATGTTATCCTTGTGACAAGACCTTTGGCTATAACTTTTGAACAGGTGATTCTAGGTGACTATTTCACAATAGTATTTCTTTGAGATGACCTTACTTTGGGTACCAACATATTTGATTTGCATATGAGAAAGTTTAACCTTCTCTAAAGTTGCCATACAGGGGCATCAGTGTTTCACAAACACATCTTGTAACCTCGTAATATTGACCTTAGAATATGATGTACATGTACTTTAAAAAAATAATCTTGGGTTGGTAATAGGGTCATTATATTTCAAATTTGTATTCCTTTTGACAAAACTTTCCTTAGCTATTAATATTCTTGAACTCTTGACTTTCGAGTTTGACTTATTTTTGAAAAACTTTGGCCTTGACTTTCTGTACCTGGGTATCCTGTTTCACATGCTTACATGTTTTATTTTGTCCTGTTTATCTGTCTGTTGTCAAATTTAACCTTCACCGTAGCTTTTGAACCGTGAGAGATAGAGATAGAGAATTCATATTTGGTATGCATACTCCATTAATTAAACTCTTTCAAATGACATCAAGGTCATTGACCTTGTGACCTTGACTGTGAGATATATGCTAAAAATAGCTTTTTCAAACTTTTGCTGTAACTTTTGAACGGTAGAAGATAGAGACTTCATATTTCGTATGCATACTCCACTAATTAAGCTCTTTTAAATGACACCAAGGTCAATAACCTTGTATCCTTGACTATGACCTTTATACTAAGAATAGCTTTTTCTTTGTTGCGCATAGTGTTTCACACACACATCTTTTTAAATTCAGAATAAGAAAGCATATTTTAAAATAGAAGAATAGTATAATTTAATTTCTATATAAATGTATACCCTTAAACTAGTCAAAGTGAATTTTGAAAATGTGTCTTTTAAAGTATATTTGAAAATTAACGCCGTTTTAATGGTTTTTAAATTATTCAGCATACATGTTTATAGATGTTTCGTTATGTTTAGGTTTTTCATTGTATATTTTAAGGTACCTGTGTGACTTTGTGTACTATATTTCTCTATCCATCAACAAGTCTCGCTCCGCCTTCATTCATGTCCCGCCCCTGAATCAACCATATACTGAAGATCAGTTAGGGGAAGGTGTGGCTAAGGCCATTTCTGCAATGCTGAAGTAACTCTTAAAGACCTGATACTCAACAGTATATGACTTAGAACGGACTAAGACTCTCTCTCTCTCTCTCTCTCTTTCTCTCTGACTTAACAATAAAATTGTTTTTATGTTATGCTTAATGACTTATTTACATTGTTTTCGATGTATGACGAGATACACAATTTTTTTTTCATCACGAAATATGAAATATGTTTTATACATAACAACTCAACAATTCTTCATCCAAGAATGAACACATTGTTTTCCCTCGAAGGAAAATGTATGATTTTTCAGTAGGTGCTTGGAATTCACAAATAAACAATGGAATATTTTCTTATTCTAGGAATACATGTACTCAATATGAACATTCTGGTTGCATTTAGTGCACATGTAGAGTGCCTTTTCAAGGAAAAGTCCTGAACAATCACATGCATATTCAGAGATATTTAAATTGCAGCAGTTGTAATTTAACTTAAACACTCAGCCTGTCAGTAAACAATGTTATAAATACCACTCTTTCTTCAGTTTTGGTTTGGATTTCAATAAAAACTACATACAATAGTAAGTCGCCCGTGTGGCGTAGTGGTTAGAGTGTCTGATTTAGAGTCGCAGAGTAAAGAGCTGATCCTTATGGCACGGGTTCAAATCTACTGCGAGACACGAAGACCTGTTGTATAGAGAGGGTATTTAGTTTAAGAAGTATTTTATTCATAATATACAAAGTGTACAATATGAATATGGATTGAACAGCAGGCCAAGGGCCTATATTAGTTCTCTCCATTAAGATTACTAAGTTTGTATATATCATTTTCTGTCATCCTCCAGAATTCAGAATTACACACTGAGAGAGATAATGCATTAAAAAATAATACGGGTGTCAATTTCAACTGTTACCCTTAAAAACATGCACTATTTATATAATAAGCCATGACTAATTCCAATGCTTTTTCAAAACCAACAAGAGTGCGAGATACATGTAATATGGGTGG